TGACTGGCCCAGGGGCTGGGGTGGTGGCTCAGTGGTAGAGAGCTTCCCTCGCATGTGTGCGGCACCAGGTTCAATCTTCAGCACCACATAAGATAAATAAATAAAGAAAAGAATGACTGGCCTAGAACGGTGCTCCTCATAATTTAAGTACCTAGGAATTGCCCAYGGGTGTTGTTGAATTGCACATCCTGATTCAGGAGGTCTGCGGTGGGGCCTGATTCTGCATTTCCAACAACAAACTGTCAGTGATGCGGACACTACATCCATGGGCCACATTTGAGTACAGAAAAACCAGGGTACTCCCTGTTACAGATGGGGAGACCAAGGCCCCTAGAGAAAGGAATATGGCCAAGAGCACACGGAAGAGCTGGGCTCAGTACACAAGCATCTGGACCACCTTCCCAGGGCTTTGGCTTCAGGGGCCCTCAGCTACCAGATGTCATTATTCTGCCAATTCTTGAGGCCCAGAGAGGGACAGGGCTTCATTCAAAGCCACACAGCCAGTGTGTGGTGACACCAGACCTCCCTGGCATAACTTAGAGCCAAGAGCTTTGCTTTAGGCCCACCCAAGCTCAATGGGAGCACCATCTGCCTGGAGACTGGGCAGGGGTGGAGGAGAGGAGAGGGTGCCTGGAGAGTGATGAGCCTCAGGCCCAGAGCCAGTGGGAGGTGGGTGGGGCCTCCAGTAGGAGATCTGAGTGGGGCCAGGCAGCTGGGCATGGGGGAGCCAGCTGGCTCAGGCGGGCTCGTGGCATGCTTGCTCCCCGTGCGCGTGACAGTCTATTTTTTTAATCGGTAGCCTCCCCATCCCCCAACTCCCAAAGAGCCCTGTATCAGGAGTCATGCTCTGGCTGAGATCAGGGCCACCCTGGGGATCATTGGAAAGGCACCCCAAGTCCAATCTCTCCATGCTTAGCACTAAGCAGCCTGGAATGCAGAGCAGGTGGAGCAGGGATGAAGAGCTCCCTCCTCTGTGTGGCCTTGACTGGTCCCTGGACTCTTCGGCCTCAGTTTCCCCTGTCTATACCATGATGGGGCTATGCCAACCCCCAGGGGAGCACTATACCTGGAGCGTTCGAATCTACTCCAGCCCCATAACATTAACAATGCTCACTCATCAGGCCCTGGCAGGGCCTCCCATGCTCACAGTGCCCACAGGGCACACTTAATCCTCACTGACCTAATCCTAGGAGAAGAGGGGAAGGGAAAAAAAGATGCTGAGCTGGTTCAAATGCCAACCTCAGAGCCCTCTGCCTCAGACCTAGTGAGTTTCCTCCTTCCAGGACCTGCGGAACAGAAATGATGCAGCTCAAGAACGCTGTGTGTTCTCAAGCAAGAGACTTGGTCTCTMTGTCTTTGGCACTCCATCTAAAACAAAAGAGTTTGTGTTGTATACTAGTGGAGATCACAGCCTTTGGTGTCAGACAGCCTGGATTGGCATCTGGCCACTTACTAGCTGTGTGAGCCTGGGAGCTCACTTATCCAACCTTTGTGCCTCAGCTTCCCATATATAAAATGATGATAATGCAGTACTCACCTCATAGAGCGGTTGATGTGTAAAGATCTTGGAATAGAGATGGGGATATAACTCAGTTGGTAGAGTGCTTGCCTTGTATGCACAAGGCCCTGGGTTCAATTCCCAGAACCATAAAAAAAAAAAAAAAAGAGATCTTGGAATGTTCATGGCACATAGTAAATAACAATAACTACAGAAACTGTGGCTTTTATCTATGAATAAAAGTAAAGCCCTCCTTGGAGATCTTTAGTCTGTTAGACATTTTATTCTAGAGGATTAGGTACAAGGGTCTCAGGGAGCCCACTGTCTTGTATTGCTCATCCAATTGTCCCYTCCTTTTTTTTTTTTTTTAAATATTTATTTATTTTTTAGTTCTCGGCGGACACAACATCTTTGTTTGAACATGGTGCTGAGGATCGAACCCGGGCCGCACGCATGCCAGGCGAGCGCACTACCGCTTGAGCCACATCCCCAGCCCCAATTGTCCCTTCCTTGAGCCCATGTTTTCTGTGCCTTTCACACCTGTGATCGTAAATCCTTACTGCCCATTTCACAGCAGCTCAGAACTGAAGCCTGAGAACTAAAGGTTTGCCCAAGACCACCAGCCTGTTAGCCATTCCTGAGGCTCCATCCAGACCCCTTCCCGTTGGGCTCGTGTCCATCCTCCCGCCATCAAAACCTGTTCCTGGAAAAACATCAAAAAGTAATTTACACTGAGATAGGATGAGTCTTGGGCCCCAGTCCATCTCCTCAAAGGATTGCTATTTTCATAGAGATCAAAATATGATAATACTATTAACAAGGAGCAGCTCATTTTTAAAGCATTTTCACTCATTTCACTTTTATAATAAGAGTATAGTACAATTAGGAAAATGAGAATTTATACTTATTGATTCAAATGTATAAATCACCAAGATCATTGTAATGTCATGTGTAGCTAATAAAAAAATTAAAATAAATAAATAAATTTAAAAAAAAAAACAGTATAAGGGTCTATTATTGTCTCTGTTTTATAGATGAGGAAACAAAAGTCCAGAGAGCTTACATAATGTGCTCCAGATCTCTAGCTGACCAGGACTGGAAGCCAGGGGTCCTCCATAGCCCTTGTGCATTAACCTCAGGGAAGTGGGTAACACAGGAGCGGATGGACTCTTGCTCCACCTGCTGCACCCTGGGAGGCTGGGAGGCAGGGCAGGACAGGCTCAGCCCAGTACCACACCAGCCTGCCTCACCAAGTGGAAAAGATGAAGCCAGGACCGAGGAATTCCAGGCAGCAGCCAGTGGTAACGGTTTCATTCCAGAGAGAGGGCTTTTTGTGAGCCTCTGGAATTGCAGGGCCTGGGGGCCGTTCCCAGATTGACTCCTCCTCTGGCCACACTGAGCAGCAATTGAACCCCAGTGCCCTAGGACAGGGCATCGTCACAAAGGACTCTGTACACACACACACTGGCCTAACTTGCAGAGACTTCCCCTAGGCCCTGGGTTGAATCCCCAGCACCACAAAAAAGATCTCAGGCCCAACTCCTTGGGGTCTGCAGTTGACAGCCTGGGGAGTTGGGGGATATAACCAACACCCACCCACTCCCATTAGGCCATTTACCACCCYCTGCCACACACTTCCTCCCAACCACACTCCCTCCCATTCTTCTGGACCCCAGGAAGCCTTATCAGCTTCAAATACCATTTAGACTTCTGTCCCCCCCTTCTGCTCCCCGCCCAGAAAGACCTTCTCTAACCACTGACCCAAAGTAGCTCTTCTTGCTGTTCTTCTTAAGAGCACAACTTTTTTCCATGCTAGTTTACCTATCTGGAATCACCTCGACATGTACTTGCTTCCTTGGTTTTTCTTTTCTTTCTTTCTGTCTTTCTTTCTTTTCTTTTCTTTCTTTTTTTTTTTTTTTGTCTTATCCCCTCAATTAAAATGCAAGCTCCTTGGGGGCAGGAACCTGCCTGTTCTATTTACTACTACCCCAGTTCCAAGCACCCACCCACCCATGGCTAGCCAGAGACACCCAGGTCCCTAGAGGGCAAGCGATTCGCCCAAGGTCACATAATCAGTAAGCAGGTGGCAGAGGTCAGCCTGGCACTGCAGCCTGAGCACTTGACCTTTCCTCACTCTCTCCCCGCTGACCCTCAGCCAGCCTGTCTTGCCCCTGCCTCCTCATTACAGTAGGGTCACAGCCTGCAGGTCCTTGCCAACACTGTCCCCTTTATTTCCCCGGGGACCCATAATGCCCCTATCTAGGCAGCCCTGCCTGCTTCCCCTCTGTCCCTCGTCCCTCCCTTCCTGGCATCAGCCAGGAATGAGCTCATGTCTGGAAGGTTGGGAGCTGCCCTGAAGGAAAAGGTGCCTTCCGGGCCAGGACTCTGGGGCTGGAGGTGTGCTGAGACTGTGGGAAGGCAGCCCTGGCAGGGGGACGGAGCCTGCTGACCCCCACCTAGTCTGCCTCCTGGAGCTCTGRAGAGCTCAGGGAGACATCCATCCACACCAGATCACCATGACAAGGTGTGGAAGGGAGATGGAGTAGGCTCCTCCTGTGCTTCTCCCCTCCCTCCAGATGCTCCACTGTCACTTTGTACCCTCCCACCTATCAAGGATTTGCTGTTTCCCAAGGAGAAAGTGTTCGGCTGCCTTCTACCTACAGAATCGCCCCRGGCAAATTGCTTCCCTTCCTTGGTCTCCATCTCCTCTCCCCAACTCAAAAGTGGAGACTAGGTAAAATGACTCAAGAGGCTAGCCAGGAACCAAGCACCAGAATGCCACAAGTTTGCGCTCCCCACCCCCACCCCACCCCCCAGCTTAGGGAAAGAATAGAAAAGGGAAATAGCTGACCAGGGAGAGAAAGAGTTCAAGACCTTATTTTAACTACATAAATGCTGTGATTGGAAAAATCACAACTTAGTTCAAGTGCTAATTGGCGGTGGGGGCCCTGGAGTTGGCTGGTGGCTTGCAGAATGGGAGCAGACCTGAAAGGTCGAGGCCACAAGCCAGGGTGACATAGCAGCAATGATTTATGTAGGAGAAGTTCTTCAAATATCAAACTTGACTGATCCTATTTCATCCTCGTGCACARATGAGAAACTGAGGATCAGAGAGAAGGAATCATCCCAAGATCTCATTGGGAGAATAAGGCAGCAGATGCTCCTACCACGCAAACAGGGCATTTCCAACTCTCTTGAGGGGGGTCTCAGCCTCTTTCTGAAGCAATACYGTAAGTAGTTGGGGGAGTGAACCATCAATTTCAGTCTGTGCCTTCAAACCTCAAGACGTAATGGGGGTCAGTCCTGGGGTTAGTGAGCGGGCAGGCTGGGGCCAGCAAGGCTTTCACTCCCTTGCCCCAGTGTACCCTCCTTCCCCTAATTAGCATCCCATCTCACCCTCCACTTTCCAACAGGACAGGATTGGAGCACTGACTATTCCTACAACCACCAGCACTGTCCCAGTGCAGCTCCCCCCGCCCCCCCCCCAGTGACCATTCTGCCAACCTTCCCACTGGGAGCCCCAGAGAGCAAGGGACTTACTCCAAGATCATGCAGCAAGCTGGTATGTTCCAGTGCCACCTGCCAATCAGGTGGAAGGGGGAATGGGACACATGCTGCTTTCCACTCAGTTCCTATCCCTTCTTTGAAAATTCAGACATGGAACAGAGAGGGTCCCTGTCCCCATCCCAAATAAGCATATAACTTGGGGGTAGTGTGGGGAAATGAAAGGAGACCTTTTCCCCAAATTCCTCTAAGGTCTTGCCAGGACCATGAATGATGCTTTCCCACCGCCTATTCCACAGCACGGAGGTTAGAAAGGAGCCCCACCCTCCACTCACTTCACCTTTGGGGCCCTGATTCTCAGCAAATAGGGGCAATCGTAAGGGTGTTGTAAAAATTTGATGTGAAAAGCCCAGGGGTTTCCCTCAGCGGGAGGGCACTCTGGAAAGCCCGTGATTTCCCCAGGTGGGGTTGAGCCCGGTGGTCGACAGCGTAGCAGGTTTCGCGTTTGGCGTCCCCAAGCTCCAGCCAGACCCCGGTGCCCGGCTGCCCCGCCCGCGGGAGGTGGGGGTGCAGGCCCAGCGCAGGCCGTTCCGCTGCCCCATGGGCGCCCATGTTGGTCCACCCGGGCAGCGCCCCACCCGCCATTCCCCCGGATCAAGCCAGCCGCACTTTCCCAAAGCGCCCGTGGGGCGCAGACCCCGGGCTTCTTGCCATCCGTGAGCCGGGGGCTTCCTTGACCCGCGATCAGCTGGAGGAAAGGGGCGCGAGGACTGGTGACCCCGCACCCCAGAGAAGAGCTTCGCGTGGTCAAGCGTCCTGCGGCTCCGGAGCTGCGGGAGAGCCCGAGATCCCTCCAGCCTCCACCACACAGGTGGGGAAACTGAGGCCCAGAGTGGAGGAGCAACTTGGCCAAGGTCACTCCGCGTACGGCGCCTGGAGCCCAGATGTGCCACCGCCTCCAGCGCGGTGCCACCAACTGCGCAGGTGGGAAGGGCGAGGCGCCAGGCGCCCGCACCCCGCCAGGCCAGCGCCCCTCACTCACCTCCAGCCTCTGCGCGCGGTCCCCGAGCTCCCGGGCGCCGCCGCCTCGGCACACCTGGCCGCGTCAGTCAACGCGCCCCGCCCCGAGGTCCCCGCACCCCCGCTCCGCGCCAGGCGCGGGCTTTGCGCCCGAAGCCCCCTCCTCGCCTCCGCCACCGCCGCCGCCGCCGCCGCCGCCGCCGCCGGGAGGGCTGCTCGGACCGGAGCCGGGAGATGGGAGCGGGCGGGCGGGCCCGCAGCTCTCCTGCCGCCCGCTCCCCGGGGCCCTAGCGCCGCCCCTCCCGGTCGCCCCGCCCAGACCCCGGGGGTACGACTCCCCCCTTCGCTGGCTCAGCCTCCGGTCTCCAGGCGGGTCCCCCTTTCTCTCCCTTTTTCCTCTCTCGCAGTGCCTCCCTTTCTGCTGCCTGATTGCCTGTCTCTCCCATGTCCTCATCATTTTCCATCTCCTGGTTTGTCGGTCTGTCCTCAAATCCTATTCTCTTTCTGACCCGACGTGTTTGGCCGGCTCATTTCCCCCTTGTCTTTCCCACTAGTCCCTCCTCCCTTCAATCTATCTCTGCGATTCCGTGGGGCACCAGTGACACCACCTCCCATACCAGAAAAAGTTCCCTCGGGGCCATCTCCCACCACTTTCATCTCAGCCTTAATAACCAAAATAACTCTTTACCCTGGCAGGACTAGGCAAATGGGGACTGAGGAGGGTTGCCACCTCGCTCACCATCAGCCAGCTGCTGTTCCCGACTTAACTAGTGGGTCAGCAACAAAGGCACGGGGGCTGTGCTGCCATCTTTCTTGAAGGGGATTCCATTCGCATGGAGCTCAGCAGAGTCTCAAGGCGGTGCTCAGTCTGCTTCAGAGTCCCCCATGGGGATGCTATTAAAAGCCCATATTTCCACATTCCAGTCCCCCTCCCAAGGGGAGGGGTTGGTGGGCTTGGAAACAAGACTAAACAGTCACCCTCCCCCCCTCCAAAAATTTTGAAGTGGATTACACTTGGAAAAATGCTGGCCTGAGCAAGAGTACAGTGGTGCCCACCTGTAATCYCAGCTACTCTGAAGGCTGAGGCAGGAGGATGAAAGGTTCACGGCCAGCCTCAGCAAGTTAGTAWGACCCTGTCTCAAAATAAAATAGGAAAGGCTGAGAGTGTAGTTCATGGGTAGAGTGCTTGCTTATACTGTGCGTSTTAGGCCCTGGATTTGATCCCCAGAATAAGAACAACAACCAAAAATTAAAAAAAAAAAATGTTGGGCTGGGTTTTCACAAGTTTCCTGGGTTTCTCACCCTTTGAACCAAGGTGGTTCCACTTTCATCTGTCTTTTGTATCAAGAGCTCTGTGTTTAGATTTCTGCAAAAGGAAGTTAGAAATGTGCAGATATAAGCCCACCCCACCCAAGGTTTTCTGAAACACTAACTTATAGGTGTTGGGGGGCTTGGTTGTTCCCTGTTCACTGTGGGCCAGCTCAGAGTGCAGGAGGTCAGGTGACTGAGGAGACAAACCTTCTCTGGCCGCTCCCTTCCCACTGCCTGGCCTCAAGGGCCTCAGAGAATTCCTCTAACCCTGTTTTGCTGGGGTTGGGGGGCAGAAGATTGGCAGCAGGTAGAGTATTGCTTACCCTGAGAGYGCTTTGCTGGAGAAGTGGTTGCAGCCCAGCCTGTGGGAAACCAGGAAACAAACTGTGTGGGTGAGAGGGAAAGAGAGACAGAGGCTAAGATTACTGCGTGGGTGGGTATGAAAAAGAAAGAGATGGGGAAAAGAAAGAAGGAGAGAAAATGGTTCTGTCTGTACGTAGGTGTGTGGCCGTGGGTGTGCAAGAGTGGATGTGCCTGTAGGAGAGAACGGGAACGCAAGAGAGCGTTCAAAGTGTAGGTGTGTAGCAGAAGAACACAGAAAAGAACAGGCTTTAACCTGTATCTGTGTGCTGGTATGAGAAAGCGGGCACAAGTCTGCTATGTGTTTTCAGGTGGGACTGTTGCTCTGTAAGCAAATCTAAAGCACATGTCCACATGTGATAGGCATGATGGGTGACAGGGCCTTCAGGAGGGTACGTGCCAGTGTCTACCCATTGTCCAGGTGTGTGAGTGCCTGAGGGTATTCATGTGTGCAACACGTGTRTCTATGGATACGTGTGTATGTGTGAGTGCACAGTGAGGTATATTGGTGTGGGGGTGGAAAGGGCAGTGGGCAGCTTTCTGCTCAGCCTGAGCCTGAAAAGCAAGGACCTTGTCCTTGGCCCGTGACTACTCTCAGCTCTTAGCCTGGGTGCAGGCTTTTCTGTTTAATCAAAATCAGTGCGCAGCCAGGAGTGTGACTCATCTGACAGCCTAGACCCCCACTCTCACCCCAAGACCATCCTGAGGCTCAGAACAGTGTCCACCAGAGTGGAGAGGCCTCCACACCCTCTAAATACCCCCACCCCCAAAACATAAAGGTCACGAGCAAGGGAGACGCCACCTCAGCAGTGGGTCTCAGGCCTCCCCCATGCATCTGAAGGGGAGAGAGAATGTGGTTTGTCCAAATCCCCCCACCTACTCCCAGAGCCTGAACAACCTTTTACCAGCCCCAGGTGGGTGGAAGAACACGGCCTGCTGCCTCGTCTCCATGGAGACAAGGCAGCCAAGAGGGTGTTTAAAAACATGGGGCCAGACCTCTCAGGGTTCAAACCTCAGTTCCTCCACCCACAGATTGTGAGAGTTTTGATGATTCCTTTAAATTCTATATATCTTAGTTTCCTCATCTGTAAAACAGAGATAAGAAAAGTATGAACTGCAGAGGGCTGTTTAGAGCATGAAATGAAGTGGTCCAAACGAAGCATCTACACAGTGCCTGGCAACCAAACAGTGAGGTAGAAGCCAGGGGTTCCAGCCTTTAGCTTTGCCACCAATTTACTGTGTGACTTTGGACAAGTCGATTGTTCTCTGGGCTTCAGAGCCTCCATCTGCAACGATAATCTCAGTGAGCTCAGTTAAAACCAGCTGAGACTTTAGAAAGGATGGCTACAGCATGGGGCTTTCTTGGTGAGTTATGGACCAACTGGTTTGGCTAAGACCTGATTGTGAGCCCTGTTACATTTTCCTTCCCACATATATGCTCCCAGGTTGGAGACAGCTGGTGACAAGAAACTTGAGCTTCAGGCTGCTGCCCACCTTGGCTGCCTGCAGCCCCTCCCCTTCCAGCCTGCCAGATGGTATTCAGACCTTGGAGAAATGGTACCAGTACCTACTGACCCCAAGTGAAGATCTCTGCAAAAGATGCCATGCTCATACTTTAAAAACACCAGGGAACACTCCAAGAAGCAGGTATAATTGCAAAAGGATGGGGGTAATTGTCTGATGATGCTTATAATCCTTTGGCAGTAATGGAGGAAGCTTTAAAAGGAAGTCCTAATCCACTAATAACCTGGCGGTACCACAGGCTTTTTAGGCAGAGGGAAGTGACTCCGGCCACACCCTTTCCCCAGGGAGCAGAAAGTCCAGCGTGGGCTCTGACCCAAGACCACCTGAATTTTGTCTCTCCTGCAAGACCCAGCTTCCTTCCTGTCCCCACCTCTGAGAAATCTACCCATTCTATCTTCCTGAGGTCACTCCTGTCCCTAGAAATGTTCAGAGTAGAACTAGGTGACCAGCTGATTGGATATGAAAGGAAAAAAATGACCAGGCTATTCAAGGCAAAGAACAGCATCATGGTCTCAGTGCAGGTACTGACTGTTGCCCTGGGCAGGCGACTTGAATCTGTGAGCCTCAGTTRCTTCATCTGTAAAGAATTATTTCAGAGAGTAGAGAAGGAGAATGACCCCAACGTGGGACACTGATGGGTTACATGCAAGGTCATCCTTTCTCCTCTCCTCTCTACCCGTGCTCTTCCACCCCAGGTTTCCACAGACAACACACGCAATTCCAGAACACAGTGATGGCTAAGAGCACATGCCCGTATTCAAAACACTGTGGTTGAAACATGTCCTAGCATCTTGCTAGGACAAATGCCCCGCATCTCGGACAAATCCCTTACATTCTCTGAGCCTCAGTCTTTTCATCTGTACAATGGAGATGATAACACTGCATCCCTGGGGGACTGCCATCCGACTGAATGAAGTAATACAGGTAAAGCTCTTTGCACCACAGGCTTAGCACAAGACACCTCAGCAAACAGTCTACTTGTTGAGTTGATGATGATCATTTCAATTGTTATCAATGTCCCCACATACATATCCAGATGACTATAAAATATCCAAAACTTTGCCACCTCCAAAGTCAGTGCGACCTCACAACAGCTTTATGAGGTAGATAGGATTCATAGTTTTATTTCACTTTCACAGATGAAAACACTGAAAGTCACCAAGGGACTTGCTAGGGTTTGGCCAGTGAGCATCAGGCCCAGACCCAGGATCCCTGTCTCCTGACCCTGAGCCCTGGTCTATGTGAGGGGAGGCAGCAGAACCTGGGGTCTCAGGCTCCAGGGGGCCCAGTTTGGACTGACTCTGGAGTGGGGGCCCACCTCCCCAATTTAAGTCTGGTGAGCCTGGCTGGTGCCCTCCTCCTGCCCCGGAGGCACTGAAGGCCCCTCTTTGCTGCTGCCCAGCTCTCTGGGTGACCCAAGTCTGGGTGGGAACTGTGTTCATGGGGGGCGATCAGAGACTGGAGAGAATTATTTCAGAGAGTAGAGTAGGCGGGAAGGCTGGTGAGATGCCAGCCTGGGCGTCAGCAACGCCTGCAGAGAAATGAAGTGTTCCTTCAGTTTCCTGACGCACGAGCCCTCCCAGGACTATGTCCCCCACACGCCCTGCACCCCTGAGATCTGCTGGCAGCAGTTCCTGCCTGAGCTGAGCATGGCCCGGCTCACGTCCTCCCCATCTGGACCCACTTCAGGTTTCCATGGGCCCCGGTGGTGGAGGTGATTCAGCGTGGGTCTCCCTGCCCCGCCCTGCTCGGCAGACTCCAGTGCCGGAGGGGAAAAGGATCCTCCTGCCTTCCTTCCTCCATGCCACACCTGCAATGCTCCCCACACGCTGTCACTGGATCCCACTGCAGCCCAGGTGACACGACTTGTCCTTTGTCATCTCTAACAGATGGGAAACCTAGGTGAGGAATATGGACCCAGCTCAGCCACTAATTGGCCAAGTAACCTCTGACAGTCTCCTGCTCACTCTGAGTCTGTTTCCCCACTGGGATTGGATTAGATGAAGGGCTTTGGTGGCTAGCTTGAGGGCAGGGACCACATCTGCTTGTCCAGTCTGCATCCTCATATGCCCAAGTCACTCGAACTCTCTTCATTTAATGAGGGGTCCTGCCCCATCAGATGATTGGGACTTTCATGGTCATTCATTCCCTAATCATTAAAGGGCAGCTGAGACTGAGAAACGGACTTTTTTCCAACCAAGCATGATAACGTGGTTTTCTTTCACTGCCTGCTCACGTGCCCTCTTTGGCAGAAAAAGAAGTGAAGTTAGACACAGTACAGCTGGACCTGCCCGTAACCCACAGCTGCTTCTATCTCTCCACAGCTGCCAATCTGGGCATGCTTGAGGGACTGCGACAGATTGTCATGTTTGCTGGGAACATATATGGAGGAACCCCTGCTGAAGGACCTCTGGGGAGAAGGAATGCAAGCTTACCTGGTTTCTGGGCCACCCTGGGCCCAGGGCCGGGTCTGGGGCTGACTGTCACCACCTGCCGGGCCTTCACCACATCCCAATCCTGGTTGGCCCTGTTGTCATGCTGGGACCCCTCTCGTGCTTCCCTGGAGCAGCTGGATGGCTGAATGCCCAGGGCTCTGGACATCTGTGGCAGCCCTTGGTTGGCTCTGCAGGAAGAGTTGTCTCTGATGCTGCTGCTGCTGTTGCTGGCCACCTTGTTGTCTTCCAGGTCCATGGGCCCTGCCTCTCCCTGCAGGCCCTCTTCACTGCCGCTCTCCTCGGCCTCCAGGGCCAGGCACCTGTAGCTTCCATCGGGGATCTGAAAGGTGCAGGGGGTAGGCCTCCCTTCTCCAGGCCCCAGGGGCTGTGGTGGGAAGTGAGGGCCCAGCATGAGGCTGCCTTTCCTGATGAGCAGGCGCTGGCCCTGGGCTGGGGCAACTGCCTGAGCACTGCTCTGGGCTCCTCTCGGTGGTGTCCTCTGGGTCTCTGCAGATCCACCTTCACAGAGTTGGAGCGAGGTCCAGCTGAGAAGTAAGATAAGTCCTTTCTGAGCTGGGTGAGGAGGTAGGCCCCCAACACCTTCTTCTTAACCCTTCTTGACCTCTGGAATGAGAGTCCCCTTCAGGGAGATCTATCTGTACAGGGAGAAAAGGAACCGCACATGAGACAGCTCACCCAGTGTCTGGGCTGAATTCCTGAGACCTGTCCATCTGAGGGTGGGCCTGAGAATGGACTGGGGTTTGGGGTAAGGGCCCCACACATGCACAGGGAAGTGTTGCCCAAGCTTCAGTCACTCAGCATTCTAGATTGGCACCATCTGTGTGTGCTACCTGACACTCTACGGACTTCATTTTTTCCTTCAATCAACTTATATAACTGACTTTAATACTTTAGACTTTCTTAAGCAACAATTACAGAAAAATCACAAGTGTATTGTGCTAAGTCATTTCCCCTGGTTCACATTAAATAAATATCTAGTTATTTTAAAATATTTATCTGGGCATGACTGAGAAAGAATTCTTTGACATTCCACCCAAAGTACATACACAACAGTAATCACAGGAACAGCGGGTGAGGATACAAGACTGGGGACGTATACATTCCCCCATAATGTTCCAGAGGCCTTACCACAGGCCCAGAGCAATAAAACCAGCCCTCTAAAACCATGAACCAAAATGAATCTTTCCTCCTTTAATTTTCTCAGGTATTTGTCCCAGTAACAAACACTAACCCAGAGGGGTCACCATGGTGGGCACTTATATGCCTGGGCTCTGAGTTTGACCTGGGATGGTCTCTGAACCTCCACTTCCCCACCTCAAAATGGGTATTGTAATACAGTGAATCATCTCTAAACTGGAAATCCAAAATCCTAAACATTTTAAGACCAAAACTTTTGGTGGGAACAACAGGATACCACCACAAGTCCACCTTCCATGCCTGACCTCATGTGAGGGTCGCAGTAAAAACACAGGCACACTAAAAATACTGTGCAAAATCTTATGCAGGCTACGTGTATATATGAAACAAAAATGAATTTCAGTTTAGACTCGGGTCTCCTCACCAAGATGCCTCACTATGTAAATGCAAATACTCCAACAAAATCTGAAAACATCAGAAACAGTACTGGTTCCAAGTTTTTCAGATAAAAGATAACTCAACCTGTCTCTCCAGTGTCACATTGAAAGTTAAACTGTCTCAGTGTTCCACTGAGGGTTAAATGAAAAAATGCATGCAGAGGACTGAGCACGGTTTCTAAGGCATATCTTTGTACATTTTGGCTATTCTCTCTTTCCACAAAAAGTTCTTAAGCTCTTATTCTATTTCAGATATCATAAAAATTCCTGGGGATTTAGTGAAGATAAAGAAGATATGGTACTCTGCCTCATGAGCCTTAAAATCTGGTGGTAAGAGCTGTGAATGATAATAAGGACAATAATAATAATAGTATGATTATTTATAAACGTTAAGAGTGATGAGAGTCAGCGGAGAGGGGACAGAGGCTTCCTGAAGGGAAGGCGAGGAGGAGATGGATGAGAGAGGTTCTTGGGCGGAAGAATTGGCCAGGCCTGGAAGCAGATGGAGAGTGGGTGTGGAGGAAGGGGGAGGAGCCCAGGATACAGCGCAGGTCCCCAGCTCTGGTGACAGAGTGATTTTGTTAATAAAGATCAGGAATACATGGGAAGGAGTTGGTGGTGTTCAGTGGAGCAGGGAGATGGGTTTGATTTTTGAATTTTCAGGGGGAGATGAGCAGTAGGTCCACAGATGGGGGAGAGTTCCAGATTGGGATGGAAGGTTTGGAAAGTGTTTGTGGGGGTGGAGTGTGGAAGCAGACGGGATCCCGTAGGTTGAGCAGGTAGCACTTCAGAGAGGGCTCAGGGCAGATTGCACCTCATCATATTGAATGACTTAGCTGTGTGGACTCTCTAAGTCTCATGTATCCTTTTGGAAAATGGGGAGAGAGCCACATGCCATGAAATCTGTGGACATGGATGACCTCAGGGGCTGGACCGACCTCAGTGGCAGCACTCACCCCTCCGTCCCGAGCAGAGGTCATGTGCCCCCGCCCCACTGCAGCAAGCTGGGTGGAGGCCTTGGCTGCTGGTTGGGGCTGGGCCAGGAGAGTCTGGTAGGCATGCGGAGAGATAAGTGCATCACCAGGCGCTGGGACAAATCAGAGCCAACCAGGGCAAAGGCAAAAGTACGTCAGAATCAGAAAGATAACCAGGCACCTGTTAGAGCAGCCTGGGCAGCGGGAATCAGGAGAAAGCTGACGACCCGTGCCTGGGGAGGAACAGAAGCTCCCAGGCTGAGCACCTACCCTGATCCAGGTGGGTCCAGTGCTTAGGTTATTACCCTAAATTCTCACAAGCCTCCAAGACAGGCACTTTATTATTATCTCATCTCAGAGGTGAGGACGTCGAGGCTCAGAGAGGTGAAGCAATACAGCCATTAAGGGACAGGGCTGGGATTGGGACCTAGCTGTGACACCTTGACAGTAATGCTGGAGCCAGGGACACAGAGGAGATGGCAGCCGGCCCTCAGTCCTCTCCTGGAGCGTTCTCACTCACCAGCTGCTGCCACACTTCTACCATTTGAGCTTCAAAGATCTTAGCATCTCTTGAAGGGCCAGGAGAATTCTGAAGAGACCTAAATGGCTATGTGATCCTGGGCAGATGGCCTTGCACTCTGGAGTCAGTTTCCCCAAGGGCACAATTTAGGGTTGAGACAGATGGTGCTGGAGGGGCCCTATGCTCTGGCGTTGCAGGATCCCATGATTCTAAGCTCTGGAGTCAGCCACCCCCACCGCCACCAGAGCCAGATGGCAGGAGGCAGAGGGAGTGGGCGAGGGGAGGGGGCAGGGCTCTCCGACTCCCTGCAGGGGCCTCGCCTCACTCTATCCCTGCTTCTGTTTTGCTGCATTTGACAGTGGCCACGGTTTCCAGGAAAGAAGAGAGAGGCGGAAAAGTTAACTTTCCGCCACCCACACAAATATTTTTGGCTGGCGTTGTCTTTGGGCTGCCAAGCCAGGAGGGAGGGGTTGGCAGGAGCACTCCAATTCAAGCCTCCCTCCCCTGGAGGGAGGACTCCCAACCCCGCTGGAAGGTGTGGGCAGGCCCTGCACAGGCCTGAGCCCTGGAACACCCATCCTTGGTGCCCAGGACCCAGTGATAATGGTAACTGCCACTTCCAAGTGCTGGGCCAGCCCCTGACCATACACTCCTGTGAGGCAGGTGGATGAGCACGGTCCACAGATGAGGAAACTGAGGCACGGGGAGGAAAACACAGGGGTGAGGGGGAAAGCGGGGTGTGGGTCAAGGTTGCTGGGATCTGTGCTCCACCTACTGCTCTCTGGCTGTGGACTCTGTCTCCAGGGGTCCCCACAGCCCCTAAGGCTGCTGAGTTGGATGGCAGGCCCATCAGTGTGAGCCAGTCCCCTCCGTAGGCAAGAGAGGACCACCTCTGGCCTCAGCAGAAGTGGAGAGGGTCCTTCCAAGCTCTGGTTCCGTTTCTACCCACTTGCATACCCCTCATCTGACCCTAAAGCTCTAAAACTCCTGAGCTTTGGCAGCCAGGGCTGGTAGAGCCCTCAGAGCTGCTGATCTCATCTCAGAAGGGAACTCTGAGCCCAGGTTATATAAGGCAGGCTCTGGGGCACCGGTTGCAGCACCAGAGGCACAGCTGAGCATCAGAGGCCCCGTGGTCTGAAGGCCTGACGGGACATGCTGGGGCTTCTGTTGTTGGCTTCTGGATGGGTGGGCCCAGGGATCGTGGCCTTGAGACCCTCACATTCTTTCCAGGGCTTCTTTTGGAGTGGAGGAAGGGCACTGGCTTGGAGTCAGACCCAGGTTCTAATTCCGACTCCACCATCCGGTGGCTGCCTGATCCTGGGCCAGTGCCTTATTTTTCTGAGCTACAGTTTCTCTGCAGAACAGGGTTTGAAATGAGGCCTACTCCCCAGGGTTGTTGCAGGGATTAATAGAGAAAACATAGGCTCATTGCAGCACCTAGCAGGGCAGGAGAAGGCACTGCTGTGTGCTCACCCGCTGGGCTCGGCGGGCGCTTGGGGAGCTGCTCCTTGGAGCCTGTGCTCAGGCTGCAGTGAGCACAAAGCATGTCCCGCCTCCCTCAGGTGCTCCACAGGCGGGAAGAGCATGGATATTCCTGCAGAGGAAGCTAAAGGGAATGAGGAGCTCTGAGCAGCAGGGCACAAATAGGTACGTGACAGGGGTCGGCCATGGAGTCTTTGTTTTATCTCTCTCGTGGCCTCGCTGGGTCATGCTAGGGAAATCACAGCATCTGATTTCACACATGGAAGACAAAAGTAGGCTGAGAGGAGAGAAGTAGCCAATTCACTCCTTCCAAGGCCCTTCTGCCAGAATTCTCCCTACCTGACCTCCCTCCACCTATAGTTTTCTTCCTTGTCTCTATACTATTATAGTCTGACCTCTTTTCCCAAAGTGCAGCTCTGAATGTGTTGCTCACCTGCTCAAGAGCATCCCGTGGCTCCCCACTGCTCACAGAATAAAATCATGTTGCCAACAAAGGGAAATGGGAATTTAAAGGCAGATTTCATGATTCTTGATTGAGGGGAATGAAGGAGGGTTTCCTCAGGAAGAATACCTATCAAGGCCCAGGGAGAACAAGAAGGCAGGGCCACTGGGGATGAATCCAGTGTAGAGAGTCGGAGGCAGCAGCATGTTTGAAAAGATGAAGAGAATTAGGGCTAAGGGAGAAGGGGGCCAGATCGTGACAGGCTTGGATGACCTGGACTCTCTCCTGCTGGCTGAAGAGAGATGATGAAGAGACTGTAGGTTGGGGAACTGGACAAGAGTGTCCCATGGGTGGGGGCTGAAGGCAGTGAGGCCAGAGCAGATAGCAGGAGGCTGAAGCAAGGGCTGGCCTAGAGGGATCCCTGGGAGAGGAGAATGTTGGGGCAAGCTCCTCAGCACCTGGAACAGTGCCAGRCGGATAAAACAATGACGATGATGGTAACTGACGGCCACGAACGTGTACTATGTCAGGTGCTATTCCAGACACTGAGTGTGCGTGAACTCATCGGATCCTCATCACGAGCCTGGAAGGAAGGTGCTATTATTATCCCCATTCTACAGATAAGGAAGTTGAGCTTCCAGGCCTGCCAAGCTCACTCAGAGAGCGTGGCCAAGTCCTGCTTCATATCCTGATCCTGATTGTCTGGCTCCAGATATCACTCATCTACCAGCCTGCATTGTCCCAGCCACAATGAATAAATGAAAGGATGGATGAATAAAGAGAAGGAGGGGAAGATGGAAGGATGGAAGGTGGGGAAGGAGGATTCTCTCCAGAACCTTGTAGGCACCCATTAAGTGAAACAAGGAATGTGGAGAAACCAAGGTAGAGCTGTCTCTGTATCCCACGGTCAAAAACGGTCTCCCCAGGGACTGAGGTAGCTCAGAACAGGTTCAGATGCCTCAGGGCGCCTCTGCCTTCCCCCCCACTGCCAGCAGCAGCGTTAGCCTGAGGGTATGCGAGGGGCAGTGTCTGGCCTGTCCAGTTGCTCCTGCCACTGGGAAGAGAACTTGAGCTGTCCTCAAGGATCCGATTTGAGAGGACGTTCCTCCTGTTCCTCTCCCAAGGGAAGGACGGGAGTCGAGGGAGGGGCTTCCTTCTACCTGGCGCCCAAGGTAAGATCCCAAGCCCGTCCCCACACTAGCACTGCCAGGCACAAGGGAATTCAGCCTCTGCCACTTCCTTGCTATGCATTCCTGCAAGTGTCACCTCCTGTCACTGGGCCTCTGTCTCCCCAATTGGAAAAGCCCATGGCTGACGGGAGCAGAGGCAGCCAGGGTTGATGCTGCTCCTGACTCCTCCCGGCACCTGCCCCCACGCCCTGTCTTCCAAGGGATGAGTGCAGTCACAGAGGGATGCGCGAGAGGGATGCGCGAGTGGTGACCCCACATTGCCAACCCAGCTCCTCATCCTGCAGGATAAACCGAGGGATGCTGGCCTCTTCCCTCCCTGTCTCAGCAGCCTTCAGCCTCTACAGTCGGCAGCACAGCCCACCGGGACCTCTCCTCCTCCTTCCTTCTTCCCTCCATTCCTGTCCACGTCCTGCAGCAGAAGGGGCCGGTGTTGGATGGGCAGTGTGTGGAGCCGGGGGAGCTCCCCCAGGGAGCAGCAGAAAACCCTCTCTGGCACAAAGGGAGGGCCGAGAAGAACTCCCGGCTGGCCCTCTGGGTGGGCTCAAGAGCCCCGWGTGCCAGCCAGGTCTCAGCTCAGCCTCACGAGAGCTGAGCAACTTTGGATGAGTCATTTCATCTCCGTGAATGTCAGATGCCCTCTTGGCAGCACGGGGGACTCAGTCATTCATTTATCCCCTCGTTCACTCAGCACACACTCACCCAACGCCTGCTCTATGCCGTTGCTATTTTCAGCGCTGGCAGTACACAGTGAACAAAAGAGAAAGAAACCCTGCCCACGGGAAGCTCACATGTTAGTTGGGATGGACAGATAATAAATAAATAAGAAAGCATATCAGATGGTGCTAAATGGCATGGAAAAATAATTAAGCAGGAAAAAAGATGGGCCGGGAGGCGGGGTGCTRTGGATCACCACCGTAGAGGAAACCGTGAGAAACCTCGACAGATGTCTTTCTGGGCTTTGCTTGGCATGTGTATTTCAAGTTCACTATTATGTTAAATTCTCATATGCAACTGTTACAAACATAAAATCAATATTAGGTAGCAAACTCAGAAACGTAAGCCCTGAAAATTCCCCGGGAGTTGTATTTTTTTTTTAATATCTTTATTTTATTTATTTATTTTTATGTGGTGCTGAGGCTTGAACCCAGTTCCTCTCGTGTGTGTGTGTGTGTGTGTGTGTGTGTGTGTGTGTGTGTGTGTGTGAAGCACTCTACCACTGAGCCACAACCCCAGCCCCAGGGGAGATGAGTTTTTATGCTAATATGTCGATTATACAATTGCTCACCACTGTAGAACCTTCTATTCCACGATGACTATGCTGACCATTTAGGATATGATGTTTTTGTAATCTATATATAAACATACTGTTTCATATATTAGCATTTTTTTTTCCTTGAGAATATTCTCTTCCAAGTTCATTAARTTGATAGGGCATCTCCTGAAGAATGACATCGTACTGGGAAAGTTAAATAAGTGCTCAACGAGATGGTGCGATTRTCATTGTCATAAAAATTACTTTGGTGAGGGGGTGACTCAGGACACAATAAGAACAAAAGCCGCCACCTGTTGAACATGCCAGTGTGCTGGGCACTGTACTGGCACACAGTGTCAAATATGACCTTGTTGATTCCTCACAGTAGCATTCTGGGATTACCTACTACCATTCCCAATTAACAGATGAGGGAAGAGAGACTCAGGGATGGAGAACTTTTGCCCCTGTCCAGAGCAAGGAAATGACCAAGCTGGAACCTGACGGGTGCCTGGGACAAGGGGTGGTCCTTGGGGTTCCCCATTTCATGCTGCACAAAGAACATGTCACTGGCATGGCTCTGCCACACCCTCTATGACTCTGGCCACATCCCTCCATTCCTGGATCACTGTGACCCCCACTGTACAATCACAGGGCTGGGCTTGAATCTCGAAGCCCCCTTCCGGGTCAGAATTGCCTGTGGAACCTGGCACCTAAGGACTCGAGCCTGATCCAAAGGGACTCACGGAATCCAGCTTGTTCACAAATCACCTAAGTCCCCTGCATGTCACATCTATTTCTGCCCCGCTGGGTTTATAAATACATGGGCCAGGGAACCAGCTTCAACAGAACTGGAGGAACTGAAGTCATGGCTATAAATACAGGCCTGAGGCTGGCTGGGGTCCGGTGGGTTATGGCAGGTCCAAGGCCATCCTGGGAAAGCACACCCAGGGGTCTCCTCCTGACTGAGGGAGGAAATGGAGCCCAGATAGGGAGGGACTTGCCCAAGGTGAGGGAGCCAGTGAGGGTCAAGGGTGGGCATGGAGCATAAGGCCCCCAACTCTCAGGCTATTACAGCCACCCTCACCCTGCGCTATAGGCTCAAATGGGGGGTTAGCCCCATTGGAACCAGAGCATGAGAGTATGATTGAAGTTTCTGATACTTTTGCTGATGCCATATTTCATCTGTTTTATATGTTGGGGTTCTCAAATATTTCATTGGCTAAAAGATTCTAGGATAAAACATCCAGAGAATTCCTAACCATTTCTCCCACCCACCTGATAGGACTGAGGCTACCATGCTGACTCCTCAGAAAATCTCTTCCCACCTCTGCACCTAGGGGTGTCACTTGGTAGCTTAGCATAGGCGATGGTGGGAGTAGTTACACCATGGAAACGGGCAGATGATGAAAACCAAGGCCCTTGTTTTCCCTAGAGCACCCGCTGTGGTGTTTATCAGCACAGCACTGCTTAAACCCCTGGCCAGCGAATCCCAAGCAAGCTCGTGTCCTGGAGGTCTGAACTTGAGCCAGTTCCTTGACCTCGCTAAGCCTCATGGGTAATGGGAACCCATACCACACCTGTATCACACCTATTGTGAGGACTACCTGAGTATGTGCCCCAAGGATAGTACAAGGTTCCCAAACTTGCCCACACATTAAAACCACCCAGGGATCTTTGATATGTTCCCAAACCACTGCCACACCCAGGGGAATTTAATCATAACCTCTGGGAAGAGGATCTGGCCACTGGCAACCTTTGATGCTTCCCGGGTGATCCCTGTGTTCTTTGGGAGCCACTGGTTCTTTGCAAGCACTCTTTGKATCTCCTAGGACCACAGACAGGAGGGGACAGTGCAGACCCTACATCCCTGCTCCATTTATTAATTCATGGGGTTTCCATTAAAAAAAATCAACATTAAGGGGCTGGGGTTGTGGCTCAGCAGTAGAGTGCTCGTCTAGCACGTGCGAGGTGCTAGGTTTGATCCTCAGCACCACATAAAATAAATAAAATAAAGGCATTGTGTCCAACTACAACAACAAAAAATATTTAAAAAAAAAACAACATTAAAGATAGTGTTTGTTTGTTTGTTGTTCCCCTGTTAAAGTCCTAGCTGGCTGAAGGCATGCAGGAACCTGAGAAGGAGAGGTCTTTGTCCCCTCCCTTGCAGCTGTGGACCTGGTCACCAGCACAACCCAGAGCAGATGGGCCTCAGGCTCAGACCCCCCAGGAGGCCTCACTTCATTGTGGTACCCGGCTGGCCAGCAGGGATAGGAGGGGTCTCGATCAGCCTCTCCTCCCCTCTTAGAGAGTCAAGCTGGGTCTTCTCAACCCACAGGCCAAAGGTTCATGAAGTTGGCTGAGCCTAGGAGGCATCAAGCTCTTGGCCTGGAGGATTAAGACTAGGGACATCAGTGTACAGTTTATGCCAAGGGCTTGGCACCTCTACCCAGCGTCTTCCTGGACCAACAACAACCAGTGGTAAAAATAATCATACAAGTGGATGACATTTATTGGGTTCTTCCTGTGCCCCAGGGTACTCCACAGTAAGGACCCTGAAAGGCCATACAGTATGAAACTGTGCTGTCCACAGCCACATGTAACATAAGCACTTGAACTGTGGCCAATTGGAGTCAAGATGTGTGTATAAAGAATACACACCATATTCCCAAGGCTTAATATAAAAAGGACAGTTTAAAATGTCTCATGAATAACTTTTACAAGTTTATTGCTTGTTGAAATGATGTTATTTGGTTTTTAAATAAATGCATTATTGAAAAATGATTTCACTGACTTTTTATAAAACCTTTTAGTGTGACGGCTAGAAACTAAAGTTACATATGCAGTCATATTATATTTTGGTGGCTAGCACTGGTACAGAGCCCAGGGGGATATGCTGTCTGATGCCACACCCCTGGGCTTCAAATCACATTCTGCATTCTGCCATTTACCAGCTGAGAGACTTTGGATGGGTCATATGACCCCTGCCTCTCCAATTTCTCATTTGTAAGAGTTAGATGATAACAGTACCTACTTCTCACAGCTGTGGCGCAGGTTCAACTGTGCTGGGCATGGAGAAAGACTAGGACCAGGGCCAATAGCACACACCTGTAATCCCAGTGGCTCGGGAGGCTGAGGCAGGAGGATCACAAGTTCAAAGCCAGCTTCAGCAACTTAGCAAGGCGTTAAGCAACTCAGAGAGACACCGTCTCTAAATAAAATGCAAAAAAAAAGGCTGGGGATGTGGCTCAGTGGTTAAGCACCCCTGGGTTCAATCCCCAGTGCCAAAAAAAAAAAAAAGATTAGGACACAGGACCACATGGTACCGGTAGGTGATTTTCTTAGATTGTCACATGTCCCAGTAGATACAGAGCTCCCTTCACCAGTGGGGAACAAGCAGAGCCTGGGAAAGGACGTCATCAGCTTTCCCTGGGCAAAGTCCAAACAAGGAACCTGGGACTTTGCACTGGGCAATGGTCTTTGAGGATGGCATCCAGCAGACACGCTAGGCAGGAAGGCTGGCCTCCGCCCCTGCTGGCCTCTGCCCCTGCTGGCCTCCGCCCCTGCCTGGCATCTGCCACTCATCCTCCCTTACCTGCCTCTTGCCCTTTTCCCTTCCCCAGATTTCATTCAGTCCAGCTGAACGGGATAAACCCCTATAGGTCCCACTGGGCCAGAATCCTACAGGATGCTGTGGGAAGGATCAAGGAAAGGCAGATGTGCTCCTGCCTTCAATTACTCTAGAAGGGACAGGAGGGCATGATGCAGGGACTTGAGTGTCTTTGATCAAGGTAGGAGGTGACAAGGCTGCAAGCAGCCTCTTAATCATTGGCCTCAATTTCCTCATCTGTAAAATGGGGCCAAGGACTGTGCCAGCTCCCAGGCCCTGTTACAGGAATGAAATGATGCAGGAAAAGCCAGACACCACTCGAGGCCCTGGGTCGGGCTGGGGAAGGCTTTCTCCATGCCCTGTGGGTGGACCGCGGCGGTTTCTCAGCCATCCATGCATTGGGCAAGTCGTTTTGGAACATGGACTGCAGGCAGGGAGTGCTCTGAGAGCTGGGGGCCTGGGGCGGGGCCCGTCCTGCACTGCAGAGTGCTGGGAGGAGGGCAGGGGAGACGAGCTAGGAGGCTGCTACCCCTGCCAGGTAACCTTAGAAAATGAAAAGTACTCCCAAGGCGGCAGGGCAGGGGGACAGTGTCACTTCCTCCTCTGGTCCGGCAGCCACCGGGTCCCTAGACCTACTCCACTGCTGGCCTGGTATCTAGTAGGTGCTCAATAAGTGCATGAAAACAGATCACAAACAAGAAACATCCTGGGGTGTGGGAAAGAGAGGGGCAGATTCTTCCTGGACGCCTTCTGGGATGGGAGAGTCAGATTTTCTGCCCCCCGGTGCCCTGCCAGGCTGGGAGCCGGGAGCCAGGGCTGCAGACCTGCTCTGCCACCTCCTGGGAGCCCTCTGACTTCAAGACAGCTCCCTCAGTCACCGCAGTTTGCTCTTCCATAAAGTGAGGGGGTAGACAAGGTGCTCACCAAGGGCTCCCCGACTTTGGGAGTCTGGGGATCTCCCCTGCCTAAGACCCTGTCCTGGTCCTGGGGCAGGGGGACCGTGGGATAGGCATGTGAGCAGAGGCCGTGCGGCACACAGAGACTGGAGGTGGCAGGGCCTGGCCAGGTCTCCCCAGGGGGCAGGCGTCCTCAGCACGGAGCATGGAGAGAGCCAGGAGTCAGGAGTCACAGACTCAAGGTGGTGAAATGTTGGGACAGGTCAGGAGCAAAGCCGTGACAGTTGAACCCCTTTCACTCAGACCCCCAACCCCAGCTTGTTCACCTGTGGGTGAGGGG